CGTGTCGAAGCTTACCAACAAATGTAGAACCTCGAAGGTATCTCAAAGATATGTGCAAATTGAGAGAAGTTTCTTCGAATTTGAACAACAAACTGTACTTTTACGAACATTTCGAAGCTAACACAACAGAAATCGAATAAAGCTTTGGCAGTCAGTGGAACTATTGTCGTCGGTCTTATACGCTATACAAATGAATCGAGTTCTTATTCACACGCTTTTTTTAAAGCTTTGGACAAAACTTACGTTATGTACTTGTTTCGACAATTCACATGTTTCCTGGTTACAAAATTTGAATAACGAGAAGAGCACGTAACCCATGAAACGACCGAGCTCGCCGCTAAAACGCGGTTGCAGTCTATCTTTCTTCGTAAGAGAACGAGAAATTTTACGATTATTTTGCAAGGCGTCGAACTCATCTCAAACTTTCGCGACAATTTAATCGCAAATTCAGATTTCTGCCGAACAGAATAAGAAAATGCATTGTTAGCACAACGTGATGATTCACTTGCAACGCCGTTCGAAATTGTCACCAGATGCGAAATCGTAGAAATTTTCGCTGAGAAATCTAAACTCACTTCGTGAGCCAAAAAACATCAAGAAACCAATGGTAATTAGACATACCTCTTAGAATCGTCGTTCTTTTAGCAGTTTCACAGTCGTAACTCAGCCAGTATCGAAACTTAGTAATGTCGTGTGGGCGATTTGAGTAGGTTTTTATACAAGCGTCAAGACTTCCTGTTTGTGTCAAGCTGTCATTGGACCGAAGCGTGGGCGGAAGTAGATGTTGTTATATAACAGGAAGTGGCTTGTCACGCAGCACAATTATTTCCTCCTTGTTATTTGAATAAAGGAATATTTATATATGAAATCAACTGGAGCGTGCTGTGAATACTGAACATTTTCGAGAAACGTCATCACTGATTGTGCTACAACAGTGCCAAATCGAAGACGTGCAAATCAGTCGATTAGCGTTTCAACTCAGCTTCCTCGAAAATGAATGTTAATACCGTCAAAATTAACTCGAGGATTGGTACGGAAGCATTCTGTTTCCTTTATGAACTTAGAAACATACGCTGCATCTTCACGTGCTTTCCGGTAGTTATCCTTCACTCAACGAAATTTTTCTTTTCTTTTTCAACTTAATTATTAATATCACAGGAAAAAGGAAAAGAGGGCTCAAGGAAACAGAGAAGACTTGATAATAATACGACATCTGATATGTGATAAATAATGGTATTTTCCCGCAAAATGTTCCTCTTATAAATGTTCTTACCGTTCGCCGGGACACGCTCTTTTCGATCACAGGTTATTTCAGTCAGCGTTATTACCGCGCTGAATTTTTAAGAAGCCTTTTTCATTGAACTTCGTTTACAATTCACACTGAATAGAAAGAGGAGTTTGTTTTGGGGAAAGCCTCGCTCGATCATGACCCAAAGTTAACCTGCTTCCTGACGAATACCATATGCATCCGAAACTGGCAGGATTTTAAACATAGGCCCGCTTCATTGTGGTGATTTCACTCTTGCGACGTTTTTAAAGTATGGCAAGGCTATTGCGAGCCTTTGTCAATGTTGCAAGGAATCGTGCGCGTGACAGTGAATTTATTAATTAGTGTTTTACAGACGCCAGTGTAGGCATACATTGGGAATTTGTTTGAGGAGCAGATCTCTTTTTAAGATATTACTAAAAAATTGTATTATTTTTAAATTCCTATTATTTTTCCGGACGGCACGGAAGACGCCCACTGTCTTTGGAAAACTAGGAATGGACTGAGACACCCTTCAAGATGACACAGAGCATAACGTGTAGTTGTCTTCAAACTGACAAAATTATTTTCAACTTGACAGATTCCATTTTTTCTAGGTGACAAGCATATTCCGCTGAAATTTCTGCTCTGACATAAGTCTTATTCAATTTTTGCATTTGAGTCCTAAATCGTAGTTTAATATTTCAGTTCTAAGGTATACGATATTTTAATGAAGAATGAATTAATTCTTCCGGTTCCGAATAGAAAGGAAAAACATTTCTCTTTCGGCCCTAAAACAGCAAATTTTCTCATATTAGAAAGTATGGATTAAAATAAATGTTTGCGTTGAGAAAAGGAAACCTTGATATGGGAAACCCCGCCAAATTCAGGGAAATACGTTCGAGCCAAGGTCGATTGCAGATATTCCAGTGACCAAAAGTGTCTCGGACTTCCCCTCTACCTGATGCGCGACTTGGCGAAACTTATTTTTCACTTTTATAAATCGTTAACTTTAATATTAAATTGCGACAAAAATACATTCTGCTGTATGTTAAATTATTTTGTTTACAATAATTGCGCCCATATTCTTCAAATTGTCTTTGGTTAAAACTATGATAACTTGATAGGAATGAAAAAAGCAGACAACTTTGACTGTCCTGTTTGCATCGTGGTTTTGATCCGACGAACTCACCCGTAATGTGTGCCTATAACAGATTGTTTATACAGAGATAGACGAAGAACACAGCAGTAAAAGGGTCAAGTGCGATTCAGGTCATCTCCATGATTCACAGAAATTATGTCACGAACCAACTCTGAATTATGAATACAACGTAAACCTCTGTCGAAATATAGTAATTTGATAAAGTTATAAATTTCTGATCATATTGCATACAGAGCTACTTTTTTGTAGCTTTCTTCTTTTGATAAATTTGTAACTCTGCTAACACTTTTTTTTCAATTCTCACACGTTTATTTATAGTTACGTAAATGTTATTAAAAACCCTTCCTTGTATATCAGTTGTTACAGTCGAACCTCAGCTTAACAATTCCTAGGGGAAAAATCATCATTTTCGTGTTATGTGAGCCCTACGTACCTGAATAGATCACACAGCCTCTTAGGAATCTTTAAATCTCCGCTGAAGCTACGTAGTAGAAAAATCGTTGATGGAAGAAGATTATAACTAGCCAACTAAACAGGAAGTCGTCGGAAAACCTGTTTGATGTGACATAAATCATGAGTGACAAAGTGACCCAGAAACCCATTCAATAATTTAACGATAAGGGATCTGATGATGGAGTAGTTCGTTCGATTTATATCTGTCTCGGCCGCGCAAGATGAGAAGAGAAGTTCACATCATTTTGGCTTTTCGTCTTTCTTGAGCCCGGCCGTTCAAACTGCCTTCAACTTGATCAAGACTTCTTTATACTTCTTTAACGAGAAAGAAAAACTCAAAGAAGAGTTTTATAAGCTAAGAAGTAATTGTTGAACAATTATGGCAAACGATAGAAATGTTTGAACAGTTGCAAACCGTGAACTTGAAAGTTCAAAGTAGGCTTGGTATTTCTAAATTCACACAAAGCTACGGAGCTCACTCGTCCGATGCTTGAGTAACAGTGGCGAAAGAGGAACGAAAATAAACTATACGATGGTAGGGTGAAAAGAAAAGATTGCGCAACTCGTAATCTTGTACCAAAATCTCTTCCGGTCGATACAGAAACGAGAATCATCTTGAAACGTGACAAATATTATTCAAAGGTTCTCGGTTTAGCAAAAGGAAACTGATCACAAGTAGGTGTTTCTATTTTCTCTCTCACGCTCCCCAACAGAATTTCTCCTCTTTTTTTCTTCTTCTATAGAAACTGAAGGACGAACGCTTCCCTTTAATCGCTTAAAGAAAAACAAAAGGAGAAGAAAAGAATACTTAGTTGCGAGTTATGTCTATCATCTGAACTGCCGTGTAAACACAACACATGTCGGTTACCCCATGGGGAGACATAATTATTTCCTGAATCCAAGTACATCATATAAACAATTCTGTAGGTTAACCGCCCCACTGAAAACAGTCTAAGCGAGCTGGGTTCCCTCATTAAAAAATATTATTATTATTACTATTATTATTATTGTTATCAATGCTATTATTATTATCTCTTCTGTCACAGTCTTTGCTGGTGTTCTTTATGTGCATCAGCCATGCGCAAACCACGCACCAGGGGCATCAGTCACTTAAATCAATAATTCTGTTTAACCACAAAGCACGTTTCTGAGGATTCGCGCAGATCCTAGCATGCAAATCTTTTGAATCTCTGTCACAGTAGCTGCTTCTGATACCTTTCTTATGCTTTGCAACATCCCTTTCTTTACTGTACCAAAGACGCACCAACAACCACATGGATATTATTATTATTATTATCATCATTATCATTATTGTTATTATCATTGTTATCAAGGAAAATAAGAATTAGGAAAATCGTTGTCTATTTTCTTTAGTTGTAGCCTCCTGTTTCCTTAGGGATTCATGCTCTGAGATGTCATAGTCATTAATTCATTACAAACGTTATAAGATAACCTATCGTTATAATTCTGGCTTCTTCTGATCTGATTGCAATATTTTAACTTGTGTTCGCTGGGATTTTCTCAGACCTCCTACGTTCACAAAAAAACACGCTCATAATAGAATATCACACGTGGTCGTATATTCTGTGAGGGACATCTTCAGGTTTGAGTTACAGATCTAAGAGATAGAACTAAGGCCAGTTTACATGGAGGTGGGGGACCCAAGGTAGGTGAGGTAACCCGCCTAGGTGGAGTAACCCGCAACGGACACACAAAGAGTGTAAAATGTTCACATTTCGGAATATTTAGCGTTGTAAATCGACCATATTTGGTTTCCCAAACTATTCCGTATAACGTATTAAGTCAACAGTTTCTCGCGAAACCAAACACCGCGTAACACAACGCGTGACGCTTTCATGAATAAATACATATGTGTCTGAGAATTAATCTTTCTTTTTTTTCGAGATGTGAGCTTGGGACGTCTCTGCTCAAAGTCCTAAATTGCAAGCGCAACAACAACCTCAAGAAACCTCACCCCAGCACCCCGGGGTTGTAAGATTGCATGTAAACGCGTTTTATTTTTCGAACACGGCTGGGCGGGTTACCTCACCTACCTGGGGTCCCCCACCTCCATGTAAACAGGCCCTAAACTTCCTGTGGTTGACTACCATAGAGATCTGGCACGAGCCACATCAGCTATCCAATATGGCGGCCTCCTCCCTTTGTTCCACCAAATTAATCTACTGAAAACTTCGGACAAAAACAATCCTAAAATGGCCAGAAATGGTACAAATCCCAGCAGAGATAAAAAATTAATTTATGTGAGGGCTCGCTGCTGATCATCTCGAACATGTCGAAAACTCTGGACGAGCGATCACGGAAATTTATTGATGCAGTCCAATCTGACCTTAGAGCTTTGTCGAACGAGACTAGGCGAAAATTTCAACCGGTTAAAGAGGTGAGAAGCCAGTTTGATGTCTTAGAATAGCCTCGCTTATGTCTTTGAGAGCTTTTTCTAGTGACCAGAGTAATAACGTGTTCAAGGTTAGCATTCCCGATTTAAAATCAACAAAATTTTATTTTAACTATATTTAATCTTAATGACTGTTGTTGATCGTTTAACCTTGAAATTTTGATATCCGCTTGCCTCCATCCCCCGGTTTGACAATTGTTATTCTTTTTATAGGCGGCAGAAGCTGGAATCTTACGCCTCAGAACTATTGGTGCTGCTAAGGTGAAGAATTTGAAAATCACAAAAGGTGAGTAGACATTGTTTAGAGATATTCAACATGAACTTTGAAATCAGCTTTTGTCAGGCGTCAGTCGTAAAATATTTTTATTTCTCCATTTCAATTTTATTTACAAATAGAATTGGCTATGAATTAATAGCAGTTTCCTTGTTGAAAGGAATAAAAACACTGATAACTTAGGAGAAATAGCTGTTTACAAATAAAAACGTCTAATATAAGCATTGATAACTTACAACACACATATGTAGCTGCTTCAAAAAAAGACAGATTTTCTCAGGGTTTTTTAAAATCTTCACACCTGGAGTGATCAAAAGGGTGTTTCTCCTTATAATATGAATTCATTTAAAGCTGAAGTGTAATGAGAATAAAGAAGAATATCAATCAGGATACACTCGATTACAAAAACGTTGACACCTTGAAAGCATAAACCGTGAACGATGAGACCCGACGGATTTGTGGGTAGTGTTTAAACAATAACCTCATTTCCATCATGATAATCAATAATTTACTATTCTTATTCTTTGCAATAAAAAATACATTGCTGGAAAAAAGAGTATGCCCAAAGCATACTCGGACCATTGGGTCTCATCGTTCACAGTTTATGCTTTCAAGGTGTCAATGTTTTTGCAATCGAGTGTATATTCTCTGATCAATGTAAGACTAAATTCTCTGGGCTGAAATTATATGAAATATATACAATGTAGCATGTAAAGAATTTAGCATTTATATGAACATGTCGATTTTGGGAGTAAAGGGGTTAACTCTTTATACCCCTTAACATCAGTATGCATATTCTCCATACTGTTCTCTATACATTTCGTAAAGTGCCGACAAGGAGAATTTGTGTAACAGTCAAGAATGTCTTAAGTTGGTGATCATTTCCTTTATTCTTGTTACATTAATGTGTGATTCAGGGGTGGAACTGTAAGGAGAAATAAGATGCTGATCAGGCTAAGTGGTTACAGGATCAAGAGATAAGAATGAAAAAGAAACAGGAGAATTGTTTCTACATCTGAATGAAAAAAGCTTTGGGCCAGGTTGTTCAAAGCTGGGTTAAGATAATGCAGAGTTAGTGTAAAATTTGATTAAAGATCTGAAAGTTTGTAAAGAACATTCAGTTTAACTCTGTTTGTCTTCAATTTGATGATTGGTGATGGAATGTTCTTAAAACAAAAGAGAAAAATTGTCCTTAAAACAGCTTTTAAACAGAGAAATATAAAAACCTAGGTAGATTAAAATTTAACCCTGGGTTAGCTAATCGGCCTTCAAGCAACTGGGCCCAGGCCATTAAAATTCTGCCAGAAATGCAATGCTTCCAAAGGTATGATGCAGCTCTCCTAACCTTTTAACCCTCTAACTCCCAGAAGTGACTAACATAATTGTAACTTCTCTCTGTGGTATCCATACATTATCCAGCAAATAGGTAATGGGAATACTCAAACTTATCTTGTAGAAGTTATCTTGATCTAACATCAAATTCTTATCATTAAATTACAAGGAAATGTGTTGTGCCTGGAGGGGAGAATTAACAATCCAATCTTGGGAGTTAAATGGTTAAATCCTAAGAGTAACTAGCATCTAATTTCTCCTTACAGTATAACTACTGGGATCACGAGAGGAAAGGAAAATAAAGTAAATAAAGGAAATAATCGCCAACCTGAGGAGCTTTGATTGTTAAACAAATTCTCCTTGTCAGCACTTTAAGAAATGTATATAGAAGAGTATGGAGAATGTAGATACTGATCAGAGGGGTGTACAAGGTTGAAAACAGCATTAACCAAATAATGATCAACATATAATGACACGTATATATTTCCTTTTTAACAGTGATTGCTGAAGAAACTGAGATAGTCCAACCTTTCTTACTTGGCTGTGATACCAAGAGTCTCCGAGTGGTACAAATTTCTCTGACAGCTCTTCAGCGGCTTATAACCAATGATGCTTTATCAGAGGTTTGCACACCATCCTGATTGTTATAAAGAATTTGATAATAATAAATACAACACTGGGTAATTTTATTAAGCTCATCCAGTTGAGAATAATCCTGAAAAGCATTGTTGTTGATAGTAATGACTGATGTTTAGACAAGCTGAGCAGAAGATAATATCAGAGTCAAGTAAAGAACTATTTGTCAGTCAAGTGCTTAAAGTCTGCTTCATGGAAACTGAGCTATCAGTTTTTGCCATGATGTTTTTGGCTTAAAAAGTTTAGAAGCATAAATCATTTTCTACCCATCAATAAAGCAGGGTAACTCTGTGAAGTTTGTTTGCTGTACTTGTAGAGGTGGGAGTTGTCAACATCTATTTAGAGCAATTTATTAAATTGTTGAGATTGTTCAAATCTTTGTAAAAGCAGTGCTACTTCCTTTTTCATGAAGAGTCATACCCTAAAATTACCCTGTTAATACCATCAGGCTCCATTTGTCTAACAGGGTCTCAATGGGGTGAACTTTTAGCAGTAAAACCACCAAAAAACTTAGCTGTTAGTTGTAAAAATTGACAAGTTTTAACCATTAATCTTAAACAAAGTTGGACATAAAATTTTTTTCCTATCTACAATGTGTTGAGAGGCCTTGTGTTGGAGAGCACTTAGTCAGTGACAGGGCCACTCACATTTTCAAGCATCTGCAAGATTCTGCACATTATCACACTTTGTGTTCAGCAGATAACTACCATGTTTTGGATCACGCCTCTACTGGTTTTCAACTTAAAATAAAAGAGGCTATTCATATTCAAAGAGAAAAACCATCCTTGAATCAACAATTACACCACAGTCCATGTAAATCTAAAACTATCCTTTTAATTCTCACACTTTTATGCTTTACCTCTTTTCTTGTTATCACTATTATCATCATTAGCATTGTTCTACTTGCTTTACAATTCAACTTCCAATGCTTTGTACATTAATTAACTGAAGATAACAGAAGTTTCTGTCAAAACATGTAGTACAGACATAAAAGTTTTGTCGCTTTCTTTAAATTCTTGACTTGCCTGCTAATATCAAGACCCTTTGGAAACTACAATGTGTTATTTTGAAATTTTCAAATTACCCATTAACTGTGAAGTGGACATTATTTTAACTGTTAGCTATACAAATAACCACCCCATTGAGGCCCTCTTAAACTGGAAAGCATTTCCCTTAGCTTAATTTGTTTTACTAAATAATAATAATAATAATAATAATTATAATAATGATAATAATAATAATAATAATAATAATAATAATTTATTTCTATAGCTCATTTCCTAATGCCCAAATGTGC